TTATACAAAAAGTACTTTCATAGTTTTAATAATCAGGTAACTTGGAAATAATAGATGAATAAAAATGAAACAAAAATAACTTATCTTCTTAAATGTTCTTCAAAAGCCAAGTGAGGCCAATGTGAGAGGTAATAATGTAGACATTTTAATAAAAGTCTGCATGGTAATAGTGGTAAATGGGGGGCAGATAGAAAGATACTAGACCAATTATTTTTATGAGTCAAGCTCTTGGAGCTCGAACGTCATCTAGCAAGCGCCCAGTTGAAATCGCGACCGGATATGTATGCGACCGAATGTGTCAGTCGATGCATCCGCAATAGAAAATAGCAATAGCTATAAACCAATTTCTTTGAAAATGCTTAAAATGAATAATAGCTTGAAAATAAAATTGCATCAATTATATCTGCAATTAATTCTATTGCAAAACAACAATATTATGTTTTATTCTCACACAAGAAAAACGTGATGGTTGTTGCGGATGAATTTCTACAGAAAGGGTGCATGACATGAATAACATTTCGGAACGATAACCGTGTAACATAAACAACACAACAGGAGGTAAAATAATTACAAAATTACATAAACACGAATACTACAAGACTAAAAAGATTGAATTTCTAAATCTTAGCTTTACTTATACAATCTTCTAACCAACTCTATCCTAAAAACCGATGATATTGACCAGTGTTACTGTATTTCTCCATTTCCTCCATTTCCCAGTATACCACGCCCGATCGTAACTCGATCGTAATTGTAACAGAACAGAGTCTTGGTTGTAGTTTAGATGCAATCACTAATACAACGCTTTGACATTGGCAATTAGAAAAAATATTATATAAATTCATGAAATCCTTTATAGTTCTTCAACTGACTGAAAAGAATTTAGCATGAACATGTTCGACGGTGTCTGGTCGATTCGAACCCTGCTCCATTCGGACCATGACATAAGGCCCCAGACTGTAAATGTGATATTTTGTTTAAAACTATTTTTTTTATTATGTCTCCTGAGTCACTCACTTGATTTATTGCTATCTTCAAATTCAAAATGATCTTTTGAAATTGTTTTTCTTCTTTGACGTCATTGAAGCCTTTCAGGCTTTTGATTTTGATCATAATCATAGTATTTTTCTTGCTATTGGGCAACAAAGCTTCATTTATCAGTTTATGGATCCTCTAAATTGTTGTACTCAGGTGACCGATAAGGCCCTTGGGCCTCTTGTTGGTTTGGCTAACAACGCATGCACATCTCCGATAGTAAAGTATTTGGGAACTCATGAATTGATGAAAGCATTTTTAAACCAGAACAAATAAAAACAGTCAAAACGATAATTATGAATAATTATCGTTTTGAATAATATAGATGCAAGTTTGGAAGAAAAAACATAGTACATATGTAGTTGCGCATGTTTTTTAAAAGCATACCATGCAATATATGCACAATAAACTTGAAATAATACACAGTAAAACTTGTAAAAACAATTTTCAATAATCTATCGTAAGAATGGAACAAACAACCAGCATATTTGCTATGCATATTCATATGCATTCAAATACAATTGATGCATATCGAGAGAACACGTCGAACGCTGTTAACTTATTCATACCTGGAAATAGACCACTGTACCCGTTCGAAGATGTGCACATGCTGAGTGATTTACACCTTGTATTCCATTTATTGAAATATGCATCACAAAAAAGTAATAAACTTCCTAAATACTCTACAGTAAACACGTTGTCACTTCATCGTACAGCCTAGCACTCAAATACACATAGTCCATGCTGATCAGATTTTGGTCAGGGAAAATATCAAAAGTGAAAAAGGGAATTAGTGTTTGCGTGACTGGGTGAAAAATAAGAAATCACTAAAAAAAGTCTGATTGCTGATTATCTAAAAAATATATCAAGTAATTTGGTGTAAGAAAATGATTTTGAACACGACATGAAAGCATTTAACCCGAACACAAATTAACAAATACATGTATATGCACACGCATGTGGAGGGGGGGAGGATACTCCCTTTTCTCAGAGTGTCTTTCAGGCACGTAGCGTCTAAGAAATAATTAACAGTTTACCTGAAAAATCTTTGACAAGCAAAAAAAAAAATTAATAATAAAATTGTAATCATAATAAATAAAAAAAATAAAATAAAATATAAAAATCTCCAAAATCCCATTTTGTGTGGAAAGGGGGGGGGGGGGGGGGCAACTTTTTTGACAATTTGACTGTAGTGCAACAAAGAGTGGAGGGGATCAGCCTTTGAGTGTGTATTTCATACTAAACAGTAAAACATTATGCTCGGTAAAAAATGGGAGGGGGCTTCCCCCATCCACGCGTTCTATAGGCCTGTCTTTTATGGTTGATTTTGTAAGGATTTTTTTTTCAATTTCAAGACTGGCTGCCCCCCCTCCCCTCCCCCTCCTTATCCAACATTATTGTACTCAAATATTTTTCTGCCAAAAATGATAGTATGAATGGAATCTGTCCCTCCCCTGACTACAGATTATTTTTTTTTAAATGCCTGTTTTCCTTCTTCACTTCCCCCAATTTTTAAGTGCCAAAAATTTAAGTTTTTCTTTTGCTTGTCAATCATTTTACTGCCCACCCCCCGCTCCCCCTGGCATACACACATTTTGAGAAATGGTGCTACCTGCCTGTTTTATATGCATGTATAGGAAGCCTTTCCAGATTGGAGAGTTTCCGCAGGCAGTCTAAAATTTGGTACCTATTCAATTTCTTGTATTTTGAGAAAATCTTAAAAGATAGTTTAAGGATTACTTGAAACCTTAACTGCAAGATTATGGATAAATATTTTTTGCATTTTCAATACAAGTATATTCTCTCTCTCTCTCTCTCTCTCTTTCTCTCACGTGGTGTAAGCATCCATACATGTAAGAGCAATAATGCATATAAAATCCGATATAGTAAAAATCTTGGGAAATGTATAGTCTTTATAAGGGCAGATCAAGGAATTTTTTTGGGGCAGAGTGGATCAAACCTGCTGTATAAAATGTCTCCATTTTGACAAGCCAAAAAAAAAAAAAAAAGAAAGAAAAGAAGGAAAAACCTACACACCCAAACAAAAGGGGAACTAAACAATTGTGAAAACTATATTTCACGGGAATGGAAACATGTGGACCCTTCTCACGTACTTCCCAGAGGAAATGAAGTCAGTTTTTTTGTTTCTTTATACCTATTAGAAGCTCTGAAGAGCCGAAGGGTTCCTATCAGAAATTTTTAGACAAGAAAAAAAAAACAATATCAAAATAAAAAAAAAAAACTTTGGGGGGGGGGGGGGGTGACACTCTCAAGGGCACATGTTTTCCTTTCCTATAAATTTTGACTATTAATATATAATATTTAAAGAAGTAATAAACATGCACGCAACCATTTTTTAATCATTCTGTCATATTACAAAATTTCTTTAAATATCTAGCACGTGTAAATATGTGTAATTGTTAAAAAAAACACTTATGTAATATAATGATTAGCACTTTTGCATCGCTTCGTGACATCTTTGGCAATGTGTTGAATCACCCCACTTTACATTTGGGTACACAGTAGCACTATTTCAATTATCAATATTACTTTCATATATTATACTAATAGTGTAATACTTACTCAACTTCAAACATGTAATGTAGATTATTTTATATACACATAATTATGTCTGTGCTTATGTGTATATAAAATAATCTACATTACATGTGTTTGTATATATTGAAGTTGAGTAAGTCTGTCTGTGCTTGTTGGTAATTGTATCAATCGTGCTGGTAATTTGTGATGCCAAAGAGGGTCCTGATTTGAAAATAATCTGTCTACAGAAACAAATTGTTAAGTGTGTGTAAATTTAAGATATATTAGTTTTATATCTAAAATAGTTGAGGCCAGTTCATTGCACGTATTTAAATATATTTGATCAAGGAAAATCTTACCTTTTCCCGACATATTGAAAAAATGTATTCTACATATTCCACCCCCCCCCCCTTTTCATTTTTTTTAAAAGATGTAAGATCGGTAACAAGAATGTATGTTTATGTAATAAATTTGAAGTAATGAAGCCACATTCATGAACATATTTACGACAGGTACCGACAACAGTTAGTTCGATTTCTGAAACGATATGTTTGCGTGACTATATTGTCTAATCAGGCAAATACCATGTCATTTCCACCTTTGATATTTTCCCTGACCAAAAATGCTGATCGGCAGGGACCACGTGTGTTCAAGTGCTAGTGACAATGTGTTAACCGTTGAGTTACAAATGGAGTTATTTCTTCTGTGATGCATATTTCAATAAAAGGAAAATAGGAAGTAATTCTTTCGACATGTGCACATCCCTGTAGCGATAGCAGTATTTCAGGCAGATAGTTTAGAGCGTTCAACACGTTTTCTCGTATTTGCATGCATGTACAACTTGAATGCGTAAGTTGCATAGTATGTGCATATACCATGTAGCATGCATAAAGCTCAACAGTACAGTGTTATTTGGAAAAAAATGCTTGTGGTAGTCTTTTCTTCATTATTGTTCAAATATGTATGTATATCAAACATGCATTTGCTGTTTTGATTTTTATGCATTGCATTATTCAAAATTTATATACTCCATTCCAGTTTTCAATAAAATTCCTAGTTTTGGTAGGATTGTTATGATTTATTGCATGTTCCAAAACTGCTTTATCAGAGATGTGTACAGGCCTACATGTTTTCGGTCTGTTCATGGCGTGTTCCAAAACTTTACTATTGGAGATGTGTACATGTCGACAGCCAGGCTAGAAAATCACTCAAGTGTAAAAAAGACATCAGGGTTTATATAGCCGGTAAAATAAGTGAGTGAATCCGAAAGAAATATAGCGGAAAGGGGAGTACGGGAATGAAATAAGTCGTACAAGGATGAAAATATCACATGTTTAAGAGTTCATGTCAGCTTTAATATAACTAACATGCTTCTGTCAAATGCATAATGATACAATGTTAATAACAGATATCTTGATATTTTACAGATCTGTTGCACATTACAACCTGGAGGATGGAACAATTCTGGAAACTACATCTAATCCTTTCTGGGCTACTTGTTTGTTCATCAAACACTGTGAAGCTGAAGATGAGCAGAAGAAAAATCTGGACAATCCAGATGTTCAAAACTGGACAAACAAGTCACTGGCTCGAAAAAGAACACTTCTGTCTGTCCTCTTCAACAGCAAAAAGTAGGGGTTCAGCATTTCTTTGCTTAAATTGCATATTAAGATATTTGCAGGAATACTTGAGGCCCTGCTTTGCAGGTGCCCTTTAGTAATCAGTCTGTCTGTCTATCTTATATTATTTGTCTAGAAAATATATTCTCTACATTTATTATACCCCCCGCAAACAAAGTTTAGGGGAGTATATTGGAATCGGCATGTCCGTCTGTCTGTCTGTAGATGAGATTTTGTCCAGACCATTTCTTGGAAACTGTTGCAAGGATTTGTCTGAAAATTTGTACACTTATTATTCACCATATGAAGGTGTGCACCTGGTATTTTCATCGAGATTGGATAATTTTTTATGACGTTGAGCTCTTGGAGCTCGAACGTCATCTAGCAAGCGCCCAGTTGAAATCGCGACCGGATATGTACGCGACCGAATGTGTCAGTCGATGCATCCGCAATAGAAAATAACAATAGCTATAAACCAATTTCTTTGAAAATGCTCAAAATGAATAATATCTTGAAAATAAAATTGCATCAATTATATCTGCAATTAATTCTATTGCAAAACAACAATATTATGTTTTATTCTCACACAAGAAAAACGTGATGGTTGTTGCGGATGAATTTCTACAGAAAGGGTGCGTTGAATGACATAACATTTTGGAACGATAACCGTGTAACATAAACAACACAACAGGAGGTAAAATAATTACAAAATTACATAACCACGAATATTATAAGACAAAAAAGATTGAATTTCTAAATCTTAGCTTTACTTATACAATGTTCTAACTAACTCTATTCTAAAAACCGATGATATTGACCAGTATTGCTGTATTTCTCCATTTCCTCCATTTCCCAGTATACCGTATACCATGCCCGATCGTAACTCGATCGTAATTGTAACAGAACAGAGTCTTGGTTGTAGTTTAGATGCAATCACTAATACAATGCTTTGACATTGGCAATTAGAAAAAATATTATATAAATTCATGAAATCCTTTATAGTTCTTCAACTGACTGAAAAGAATTTAGCATGAACATGTTCGACGGTGTCTGGTCAATTCGAACCCTGCTCCATTCGGACCATGACATAAGGCCCCAGACTGTAATTGTGATATTTTGTTTAAACTATTTTTTTTATTATGTCTCCTGAGTCACTCAGTTGACTTATTGCTATCTTCAGATTCAAAATGATCTTTTGAAATTGTTTTTCTTCTTCGACGTCATTGAAGCCTTTCAGGCTTTTGATTTGCATTTTACAGGTGTTTTTTTCATTTTTATTATGTGGTTTTGTCCGGATCTGTTCCCAGAGACTATTGCATAGATTTGTATGAAAATTTGTACACTTATTATTTACCATATGAAGAAGTGCACCTGTTATTTTCAACATTATTTGATAATTTTTCTGCATTTTACAGGTGTTTTTTTTTTTTTTATTTTTATTGACTTAGTCATTTCGGGTTCGTGTCTTAGGTTTGAGACATAGAATCTAGAACATCTGTACAAAAATGTGAACTACAGCTTAAAACTACTCATCAGAACTAAAAAAAAAAAATCACAAAATATTAAAAACAGTTTTTACATTACACAGCAGATAGTGTAAATCTATTTGTCCCTTTGGAGTAATGAGTGGACATGCATCCAGTTAAAGATTAATTAATGAGTTAAGTGTGGGAAGCTGTTAGGGCATCTCTGATCAAGCAGGTCTTATCTATATCTCCTGGGAATTGGGCAGAAAGAAATAAAGATCTCTGTTGTCTAAGCCTCTTAATTGTAATTTATGTCTGTCAAAATACATAGTTACTGAAACCAGCCTTTCATTTTTAAAATGAGTTTGATATAAAGGTATTAAGATCAATTGACTTTGTATAATTAATTATGATATTTTTTTTTTTCAACAATCAATTTGCAGAGTGTCATGTCTCACAAAGATGACAGATAGCTGCAAACTATTTTTTTTCAATGTAATAAAAAACACTGTAATTATTAGTATTGATGTTTTATTAGGCTGCACATTAGTTTCATTCATTAAAAAAAATATAATGAGTAATTAAATTTTCACTCTAAATGTTTAAGCAAATTGTGAACACCTCTCACATCTAGAAAACATTAGTGATTTGGTACCTTCTCTGAAAAACCCAGCGGGGGATATGTGTCCCTTTTGGACAGTTCTAGTTGAAATCTGGCTCAGTGGACTTCAGTGACATTGATCCATTTTTACATAAGCAATCAAAGTCAGAAGAAGTCTTTGTGTAGAAAATAATTTCTTCTCCCTTGGCCCATCTGACTCGTACTTCACCTTAAGTGTGCTCTTTGTTACAGGGTGTACAGTGACCTTCAGCCAATCTCAGAGGTGAAAATAGAAGCATATCGTTTTGTAAAGTCCTTAATCCCCCCCCCCCCCCCAAAAAAAAAGGTAGCAAATTCTGAGCATAACACCAATACAAGAACTATTCTGAGCGGTAAAGGTTCTTATCAATTACAATTCATTGCAAGAACTATTTAGGCTTTAAGCTCGATGTCTTTTACATATAATGAAAGTGAGACCCTTCGTTATGATAAACCTCTCAATGATGTTTAGTTGCAATCAGATATTGTTTTGCATTAGTAAGTCATGTTGACATAATCACTTTGTTTGTATATAAAAAAGCTACTGATTCCGATGATCTCTTACATGTACATGTATTTTTCTTCATAATCAACCAATGGATTCACACATCTTATAGAATACAATGTGAAATTTGTCCCCATTTTTACTTTACATGTACCAAGAGAATAACAAGTATTCTTATCAAAATTAAAATGAGCCAATGTCCCATAACTATCAACTAAATCTAAACTAAGTTGTACATGTATGTCTGCAAAAGTAATTTGCATTTTGACAGTATTGCAGGTAAAGTGCACAGATTTAAAAGATTTGATTATACAATATGTTATTGTAGTTATGAATCAGACTTACATTTCAATTTCATTATTATTTCATGAAGTGAGTTTCAGAGCCAACCACCCCACTTTCCTACCCTTGATGACTTTGTGGGATATCTTAACAACCTGAAAAAGAAGGGGGCTACAATGAACCCTTACTACACACAGCGCCACTTGGGAGAGATGTACCAGGATTACCTTGACCTGGATGTGGGACGCAGTAGTGACCCTCTAGGATCTTTCATCAACAGATATGCTGCTAAACTGGGATACAGGCAACCAGGTTTATCATTTATTCTTCTCTGCAGGAGAAACTGGATTAGAGGATGAATATTTGTATGAAATGTCTGGTGCTATCTCTGTGTTAGTTTTATAGTTCTGTAGAAATGAAACTGGGAGACAAATGTTTTTGTAATCTGCTCTCTATCAATCTCTCTGTTGTCTGCTCATCCATCTGTTTTTCTGTAGGTGTAAAGTCAAAATCACCATTAAAATCACCCACTGTCTTGTCTTAAGGTTTATTCAAGCTAAACTTGCAGATATGATGTGTGTACCATATTGCAGGTGAATGTATTGTTTGATGCATAAGAATAACTAAAAGAGAATTGCAGACATACTTTTAGATCACCAATTGTTATGCCACTTTATTTTCACAAGAAAGTTATTTAGCATTTATAAGCAAAACAAAATTTTCACAAAGTCTGGTTATGTTGTAAAAATAAATAAAAATATACTTGATAATTAAATTTTTGCGAGCAAGCTGTCTTGTATAATTACACGTAAATAAAGCTCTTGCGAATAAAAAATCATTTACAGTACTGAATTAGTATCTTTATAATAGTTCAATAAAAACCATTATTTCACAGATCAATTATTAGGCACAAAAACAAATTAATGATGAAAACTTGTTGTAGATGCACATGATGGTGAAGACAGACCTCATGTAGGAGGGGCAGGCAAGAGCGCTGCAAGGGGTAGTGGTAATGGTGGAGAGGGGTCCAAACAACCCAGAAATAGAGCTGTGGCTAATAGGAGCAAAGTACAACACCAACCATTTAACTGAAAAAGCTCTGTTGCTACCAGTATCAAATAATAAAAACTTGATCAGAAATAAATTGTGAAAATATACATGTACCTTTCCCCCAAAAAATTTTAAATTGTATACAATGTAATGAACATGTACATGTATGATGATATTTTTAAAATACTAGGCATGGTTATAAAGTGCTTTTTTTGTCACCAGAATTTTATTTTCATTTTTGAGTTTGCAGATAACCCCCGTGTATAGGCCTCATTATAAACATGTATAACAAGTCATTGAATTGAACATATTTTATTGTAATAATACATACAAAAGGATTGGATACAAGTTCTTTCAACTTAATAAATCCTCTCCTTATTATACAAACAATGAATACAATTTGATTGTCATAATAAATAAATTGAGATAATTTACGAAAATTTATTTTGTACATATAATATATATGAAAATTATAAAGACACATACTCTGAGTAATCTAACAGAGCTCTAATGTTACATATACACTGATTACAATGTTTATTGAACAAGAAGCTTTCATATTTGCTAAAACATTTAAAATTTTAAAGTCATTCTTAGATAATTCTTCATAATACAATGTAGCATATTACTTTGCTGACCTGATCCACGAGAGCAGTTAAAGCAGCAGTGTAGAAATATAGTTCCTGAAAGAGAATTTAGGAAGGAAGATAGTATTTCTCAAAAACTCCTGTACATTACATTGAATGATAAGTGATCCCTAATTTGGGAGATAGATTTCAGCCTCAATTTTGAGATTTCTGATTAAAAGAATGATACTCTATACTACTCTGCCTACCCAAGACTATCAATTAAGTTCAGAGCTTTTCAGTACTTTTGGTTTTTGTAGGAGGTGACCTGTGATGACTGTGAAGGTACCTTAGCAGAGCTATATTGTGGGGAATGTCAGAATGCCCAGGGGGGACAGGGTCTATACCTCTGCACCCCATGCTCTCAGCTTATTCATGCAGGTGCTGCCAGGAGGAGACACAATGTTCAAGGTAATCAAATCAGAAAAATCATAGGAAAGCTTACTCTACAATATAATAACCTCATTTAAACATGTTTTAATGTTGACACTTTCTCCTGTTTACAGATGTGGGTAATGCCCCTAAAGTTTCCAAACCATATATTCCTCATGTAAGTAATCACTAAAAACTTTTTTTTATATAATTGTAGCATTTTTCATGATAAGAAACTAACAATGTATTCAGAGTTTTATCTACTTGTTTTACAGGCTTTTAAGGCTCCATTTTCCATTTTGCTTGGATTATACAGGTAAACATCCCAATGAATTGTTGTTGCATGTCGATGGACATAATGTGCCTCATTCACTTTGTTTTGTCAATAATTCTGCATTATATTTGTGTTTTATTCTAAGTGGTCTAACAGAGAGGAGACCAGTACTCAGTATGACAGAGGATGAGATAAAACTCCGTGCCCAGCCACTGACAGATACAGATCTACAGGACAAACAAACAGGTACATATGTCAGCTGCTTCCAGATACAAATACATTTTCTGTATGCACTATTTTAAGGAATTGTACATGTGTTTACAGAGTAATTACACCGAAATATTTTTATGCAATTACACACATACATGGACATGTGCCAAAACTCAGGAAATGGATGATATTAAATCTGAAATATTTTTTGCATCAGACAAAAATAGTTGTACACAAAATAGGAATGTTGATAAAGCTAAGATTGACATTTAAGATTGACATTTACAAGTTTTTTAGCTCACCTGAGCTGAAAGCTCAAGTGAGCTTTCTGATCACCTGTTGTCCGTCGTCCGTCCATCTGTCTGTCTAGCTGTCTGTCTGTCTGTCCGTCTGTAAACTTTTCACATTTTCAACTTCTTCTCAAGAACCACTGAGCCAATCTTAACCAAAGTTGGTACAGAGCATCCTTGGGTGAAGGGGAGTTTAAATTGTTAAAATGAAGGGCCAACCCCCCTTACAAGGGGAGATGATCAAGAAAAGATTCTAAATTGTTCAAATCATGGCCCCCGGGGGTAGGGCGGGGCCACAATAGGGAATCAAAGTTTTACATTGTAATATATAGGCAAAATCTTTAAAAATCTTCTTCTCAAGAACCACTTGGCCAGAAAAGTTGAAACTTATGTGGAAGCATCCTTAGGTAGTGTAGATTTTAAAATGTTCAAATCATGGCCCCCGGGGGTAGGGCGGGGCCACAATAGGGAATCAAAGTTTTACATTGTAATATATAGGCAAAATCTTTAAAAATCTTCTTCTCAAGAACCACTAGGCCAGAAAAGCTGAAACTTATATGGAAGCATCCTTGGGTAGTTTAGATTCTAAATTATTCAAATCATGGCCCCCGGGGGTATGGCGGGGCTGCAATAAGTATTACAAGGGAGGGGGTCTGGTGAAGAACAACAGGGCCAAAATAACTCAGGTGAGCGTTGTGGCCCATGGGCCTCTTGTTTTTAGGTCAGTACTGTGGGGGATTTGATTGTATGGAGAAGATACTAATGGCAAAAGGTCTTGTTCAGAGAGAGGATTCAAGAAACCCAACGTAAGTCAGGTGTAACATCATTGGTCTTTGGAAAAAATATACCTCTAGGTTTGTTTCAAAGGTTCAATCTACACATGGAGAGATGTGTAGGTTGAACCCTGGTTATTCAGAACCCATAATAATAGATCTAAGTAAAAAAAAAGTTTGTATTAGAGAAATAGAGTGTTGTTGTAGTGAACAATTATATGGTACATGTACAGTGGCGCCTCGTTTATCCGGACGCCTCTGTCCCCAACGAAATCATCTGGCTAAATGAATTGTCCGGATAATTGAATCACATCTCAAAAACACTTTCTAAGCATGTATATATATGCACATTCTTGTTTCAAATGTGGCAGCAAAGAAAAAAAAACTTTTAAATTATATTTTGGTTAATTGTTTTAAAAGCAGTAATTGATTAATGAAAAAATATATTAAAATATAATTTACCCCCCCCCCCCCAAAAAAAAAAATGGATGGGCAATTTTAAGCCGAGACCTCCATGTGACTTCATGGGTTGAGAAAATTTTGATCTAATATGTTGTTTTATTTTGTCATATATCATATTCATATATCATATGACAGAACTGTTCAGCATCATCATTGAAAATGTTCAAATATAAATTAACCCTGTATATCCCCCGTATATTCATTACAGGGTTACTATAAAATTAACTGAACACTGCAAGCTAACTCGAACAAAGTATTAAAAACATTCGTAAACACAAGCCATCTTCATGATTATCAATATAATTTTTTTTCTACAGACGCTAAGTTTGAATTTCGATCATTAAAAATACATTGAAAAACGTAATCAACTTCTGTACGTAACGCCAGTCTTATATGTAATGGACGTTTGTAAACGGTAGTACATTAAATAGATATGTTTCTTCAATTATGTACCTTTCTATACTGTCTTGTGGGGAAAAAAGCGTTTCAAAACGCGTTTCAAATACATTTACGTTTTTTAGAAATGGAACATCGTATTTTAAACTAACGCAATTGACATGATAAAGAGCATTACGAAATCGCTCGTTATTTATTGTTCATTTTATTTACAACTCTCCAAAATTCTCCCGATGTATATACAGTTTTGAATATGATTTTGAACGGATTATTATTTAATTAAAGCACAGTGTCAGCTAAATTCTTTGAGCTTCATAATAAAGATAAACGTGTGATTGAATTGGAGTAAACACACGCTAATTATAGACGCTATTGTTTGTAGGTAACTGCCTTTGGCCGCCTTCATACTGACTGCATGGCCAATGTTTTTACAACAATTAACACGAATGCAAGATAAGTGCGAAAATGTCGTTTCTTGAAAAATTACCGTCAGGATAAACGGGTCATTTTTCAATGAACTATTATGTTTTGTAGTAGAAATTGACCGTCCGGATATGGAACGCAAATTTCCGGATTAATGAGACAAAATAATGTGGAAAAAATCGGTTCCCAAAAAATATCGTCCGGATGGTGAAGCGTCCGGATAAACGCGGCGCCACTGTATATTTCTCAAAGACAATGACACAAAATCATAAAAATTTCTTCTCTTTGAAGATTATTGTCTTCCCTTTGATGAGGGGGATGGGGTGTAAACCCAGAATCATAGTTTTTGCAATAAGCTCATCTTCTCATAGTCATGTCTCTTCCATATTTCTAAAAAAAAAATAATATTGGCTTAGGATATTTGACATGTAGGTTGTCATGAGACAATATTTGTAATGCATAATCATGACCCACATGACCATAGCCTTTTTAAGTCGATGTGGACCAGTACTTTTCTATCTTTTAACCCAGACGAGATATTTTAATATTCTATATACATGTATAAAAGTTTGTATTATTTTCTAGGTATGCATTGACAGAGACAGGAGAAGAGCTAGCAGGGCAGCTTTATGAATTTCAGCAGAGTGTACAAAGATTCCTGAAATCAAATAAAGTTCCTCATGTTCCACAGGCAATAGAGTAATTGAAAATTTTGAAATAAATATCATAAAAAGGATATTAGATTAATTCTAAAGATTTTTTTGGAATAACAACAAATGAAATTACTCGTAGCACTGTGTGTGGGACAAGGAAGATTTGTCTTATAATTGATGAGCAGGAGAGAGATAAGGACAGGTTCCTCCAGATTGCCACAGAGAGAGGGGTGGATGTACAGTTTAGACATCTAGGGGCAGGGGATTATCTGTGGATTCTGACCCCTCCTATGGCTAGCCCCACCTTAAAGTACACTCAGCAGCAACCTACCATTGAAAAGGTTTGTAAATCTAAAAAGTTGTTTTTAATTCAGGCCATCTGATAACTTTTCTTCACAAACCTCTATAAATATAATATTCAGAATCTTGATGCACTGTCTAGAATTTGTTTTCAAGGTATTACCTTTCCTTGTTGAGAGAAAGAGCTGGGAAGATTTTAAGGACAGTATGAGGACTAAAAGATTTCAGAAACAAGTCAATCATATGCTGGTAAGGTACTAATTTTTGGCTAGATTATATAGAAATTTTTATTCTTCTATTCTTGTGCTTCTCTCAGAACCAATGTAAGTTACATACATGTATATTTGTCTCTAGAACAGTGGAGTGGAGAAGTGTTTCTACCTGATGGAGGGTTCTATAAATAGTGGGAGATACAAACCATCTGCTGAGCAGCAAAAGAATCTAAAGGTACAGTACTGACATGAGTTTATAGAAGTCCGGTGTTCATGATTTAGTTATCAATATTGTGATGTGGGGCCACTGATGTCATACTCATTATTGGAGTGTTTACCATTGACGATATCAATAGCTAACATTGTTGCATATCAGTGTCTTTTGAGTCCAATTTTGCAAGAAATAAGAAGTAAACATGTAGGTTTCTTGGTTTGTAGGGATACATGTATATAATTACATGTATATCAAAACAGATATATATGTACCGGTACATGCATTTAGTGCAAAAATAGCTTAGGCTGCTTAGCCATTTTGAACTACCATATGTTTCAATATATATAAGTATATATTACATTTTCATGTAAATTAGTTAAATGATTTGTTGAGGAACATTTGTCACACTATTACCATCTGAATGATGAAACCACAACCTCCAGCATGGTAGAACGTAGCAACAGTCGACATTGCTTGATGAGGGTTGATATTCAAAAAATGTTGACTGCGCAGAATTTATGTGGGCAAGGTTCACTGCTTTATGTATTCATATGAAACATTTATATAATAGATATTTCATGTTGTTGAGGGTAACATTGAAAATTTTTACCCCAAGAAAACCAATATAAAACCTTGGCTGTGCCTGAGTTGACAGTATTTTTCTTGGAATGAATATTTTCAATGTTTACCTCTACATACAATATTTGTATAATATTTGATGATTGAATTGAACAAGATACCTGGTAAGTTGCATAAAAGTATCTGAATTTTATTTTTATTTCTGATTGTATGACATATATATATACATGAACTTCCTTTTATATGTATCCAGTACAAGTTAAATGGTGTTTATTCATCATAAATTCATATGTAGGATTTACTTGAGAAGATTTTTCTGGATAATGGATTCTACATAAATTACACAGCTTCCTGGTACAAATCAGCTATATGGTTATTGTGGGCTACAGCACTAGCATCTGAGGCACAAAGGAAAGGTTTGTGTAGTGACAGGTTACTGATTTTCACATGTAGCATACTATTCAATATTATAGTACTTGTGTGTGTTTAAACTTTAATTTCATTTATATTCATCAATTTTGGATGATAGATTGAAAACTACTGGAACATATACATGTATTATAGACAATTCTGTAAATTTAAGATCTAATTGGTAATAAAACAAAATACATTGTAGTTATAGGAGTCATTTGTTTCATTAGGCCAGTTGACTGGACAAGGAATGACCTATGCTGAATTTACAAAGAGAACAAGTGGACAGAGCCGCATTTCTACCCTGACCAGGACAGACTACAGACGGATGGACTGGAGAACATGGGAGGCTGAACACTTTATTGATGGAATCTTTAGGTGACTTGTCAAGGCTGAAAACTTTAATATTCCTAGCAGAAGAGAAGGGTTAATATAAGTATGGTACTGAATTTTTTTTCTATTTTATTTCCCAGACCTATGCTATGGTACTGAATTGATTTAGTTAAATGTATTTTCAAGAGAGCTTAAAATTTGATGCACTTACTACATGCAGAAATGTTTGAATAATTGGAAATCTGTTTCCAGAGACAGTGTCAATGCGATTTCTCTTACTGAGTTATGTAAAAAGGACCTAGGACTTGCAGAAAGACATGTTATTAACATTCATGGTTTAGAGGCTTACAATAAGGTAACAACATTTTAAGTTGTATAATTCTAGAGAACAGAAAATCGAATTTACTACTTTTTTGCAACACCTGACAATACACATAAAAAATTGCAAATCTGATTGATTAGGGGAGGCAGACAATGTTGAACAAATGTTTAAATGAGGCTTGTGGAAATCCAAACAGAATATCAGGTGTGTTACATGTGAAATTAATTGTCAGTGGCTTGAAACAGGATGAAGTCTTTATAAAAAAAAAAATGTGAAATTGGTTCCACATTTTAGAATTCCTCTATTGCAGACATTGTAAACACAAGCCTAACTGCTCAGTTACACAACATGCTGCACTACGATGTCATGTCATGGTGGCAACTCCGACTTCAGGTATAATATAGGAAGCTGTAATAGATACTGTGACTTCATTTATTTTTGTGGGAATCAAATTTCGTAGTTTAGGCAAAAACACATTTTCATTGATATATAAATTTGTGGACACCTACATTGTATAATCTATTACTAGTAAAAAATTATATTTTGTGGATCACCTAATTTTGTGGGCTTAACCATGAAAACTATGAAATTTCGTGTTCAAGAAAAAAAGGAGGAGACTGGAGTATATTGTACTATTTCATATAGGAGTCAATTTCTGTGTATTAAAGTTGATGATAGAGTCAGGACTTGTCTAACATATATACATCTGACATGTTTTATATAATGGGTAATGATGCTACCAGTGACATTATTGTTATAGTGAGTTTTATTTTTTACAACCTCCAAGTCTGAATTGAAAGCAATGGTTTTCAAGTTATGTATATGAGAATTTACTGAGAAAATATGAACATGTATATGTACAGGTAAACTTTTGTATCTTGACGTTCTTGAATTTCATAATTACTGATAGAGATATTAACCCATAACTTTGCATACATGCATGTTGTAGTCTTTTGTTTTTGTAACGAACAGTATTTTTATGCGTTTCAGTTTACCCTTGGAGTGTACATAGTGAGAACTGAAAAGCCAGAGGATAGACAGAGAATTCAGGGGGAGATAGACTGGAGGTCAGGAGGTCAACCAGCCATAAACAGGAGACCAGGGCAACCAGGTCAGGACCACAGACCAAGGCAGCAAGAGGACAGAAATAGGAGGTCCAGGGGACATGTATTGGGTCATGGTTAGTTTATTTTCTGTTCCTGCATTGATATTGTACGGAAAACATCAAATTGCTCACAGTTTGTGCTTCTTTATTACTAAACTGCAAATCCTACAAAGATTATTATTTTAATTTTCAAATTAATTTTTACACGTTTTAAGGAATCTCTATTAAAACACTGCATACAGAGGAGTTCTGTAATGTGTCCTTTGATGTAAAATAGAATACATTGGAATCTACAGTGAATGGAACAGTTTGAAATAGATAAAAAATACTCTTATCATTATATCTGACCAAGGTACATGTAAAGTAATTGTATATACATTATTTTCATGTATTTTCCCTATGCAAGTACTAGGGGTATAACGATATACCGGTATACTGCAATACATAAAAATGGTAATGTATCATGGTACAAAAACTGCATATCTGCATATCACAATATAAAACATTTTAAGCAATTTATTGCCCCCCACTTTTGTGAAAGCAAGGGGGCATTGAATCTCATTTATCTGTCAGTCTGCCTGTAACAAAAACTTTAACCTTCATTATTACTTATGTATGAGAAAAGATAGGGTTTTCATATTTCACATTTACATTACCTGTGACAAGACCTTTTCAAATGTACTGTGATTTTTGAATGCATGACCTTGGAGTTTGACCTACTTTTCAAAATTTTTTAACATAGGTGATGACCTTTGAATGAGAGAAGATAGGGGTTCATATACTTGTGACAAGACATTTCTAAAAATACTTTGACACCATGACCTTCAGCTTGAAGCTTAAAGCTACATTTCAAAAATTTAAATGTTGGTGATAACTTTATAATGAGAGAAGACAGGGCGTTCGTAGTTGACGTGTGCATTACCTTTGACTATGTACCTTTTTAAATTTACCAAGATTTCTAATCCCTTGACCTTGAAGTTTGACTTACTTTTCAAAAAAAAAATCTACATTGCTGGTAACTTTTGAATGAGAAATGATAGAGCATTCATATAACCATGACCTATTTTTTGAATTTTGAAGTTGTATCTTTATATTTAGGATACTAAGAGGCCAAGAATCATCAATTTTTTTTACTCATTTGGGTCCTCAGATTGTGACCAATGTTTGTGGATTTCATTGGTCACCCTCATCCACAAATTTACATCTCCACGAACAATTATTTTGTCAAATATTTCATTGAATCCTCATTGAATTCAGAGTTAACCCATGAGATTATGTCTCCAAGAACCAACAAAATTTTGCATGCCCACGAGTATTGACCCTAACGAATTAAAATGTTTCCACAGTATGTGTAATTATGATCTTTTGTTTATATGCCAATATAAAGTCAAACAGCTCCACTCTTACTTGTAGGCCCAGAAAAAAGGTTTTCTAAGGAACCAGGTGAACCCAGTGTAGAATTGCCTTCAACTTCTGAAACTACAGATGCTGCTTCAGATCCCAAATTGGTGTTTGCCTCTGATTCTCAGACAGAAAACTTTATGATACAGCAGGTAAATTTAGTCTGAAGATGGGGTATGCCTTTTATATTATTGTCAAGCAATGCTCTGATCACATTCGTTGTGATCAAGAGAGTAAAGAGAGAAAGGGGTTTGAATGTTTCCATTATTTGTTTCTTTTGCATCAGAGTGAAAATACATCAATGTGTGCAGAGTTTAACAAATTAACACACCCCATGAAACGTAAACATTAACAAAAACAGAGCTTGTTCCCTGTTTACAAAAACAGTTTAAGTTTCACGGGTGTGTTCAATTTGTTAAACTCTGCACACATCAATGAGCATGGACTGACAATACTGGTGAGTTAGTTTTGCTTTCTCATATTTTTACTCTGAATTTTCTGGATTATAGTTTTAATATTTTTCAATAATACACAACAACACTTCTACTTTTCTTAAGTATTTAGGATAAAGTTTACTTTGTGAAAGTGCTAAAATGTGTCAATCAAACGCGTCCCAAAATTCATAGTTTCAATAATTTCCAGATAAAATAAGTTTTTTATACTTCAGATCTGTCTAAGCCCCTTTAAAAAGGAGTGCATAAGAAATAAGACCAGAAAATGCATTGTATGTCCGAAGAAGTCATTGCATGACATATGGGCATCCATTTTTATTTTGTATTTGACTCAGTCAGGGCACATCTGTTAACTCTTTAAGGCATTAGCTCTCAGCAAACAGGAGGATGCTGAAGAACAAAATAGAGCATTGTTTTCCTCAGCAAAACAGCCATCCACTGCACAACAATCAGCTACTAATATGTCACCAACCTCAGTTTCAAAAAGAGGCTCTAGAGGAAGTACCAGATCAGGTAAAGAATTGTAAATTTTTGTAGAAGAAAAAATCTCTTCAAGTTTCAACTTGTAATAGAAACAAGAGGAGGGGTTTATGGTAAAGGGGGGGGGGGGGGGTGTTATAGGTTCATCATAACATTTCCATTAATGAAATATGCTATGCTGAAGTTTAATTCTTTTTATTCTTATGTGCAAAAAGTATAACTAATATTTTGGACAGGGAAAAGGACCTCAACAGCAACAAAGGAGGATGAAGAGTTGGAACTTGCCATAAAGCTCAGTCTAGAAGATGCTGCAAACAAAAGAACCAGTGAAACTGTGAACAGAGAAAGCACTGACCCAGTAATGTGTGATACTAAACCTAGTTCCATGAAATCCAAACAAACCATCATTCCACTAGAACCAGACTTAAATATGGACAGCCAAGAAGAGTTGCAGTATGCTTTAGAGTTAAGTAAGAAAACAGCAGCTGTCACAGAAGAGAAAGATGATATCCTTATTCACAGTGATCATGATGATGATCAGCAGGAACCTACAGAACACAGAGAGCAATTGCTGCCTTCTCACCTGAATAGAGATAACTCAGAAGTACAATATGGAAAAATCAATCCTATAGATAAACCTGTTTGTGGAGATGAGAAGGTGACAGCAGAGAGCAGTGAAGATGAGGCTCTGAAGCAAGCTCTTGAATTAAGTGTAAAGCAAAATCCACATATAATAGACAAAAAATCAATTTCTTCACAATTAGATAAATCTATGTTTTCTCCATTCAAAAATCAGTCCATAGAAAGTCCAGTTTTAAGTCTCAGTGATCAAGGAGATAAGGATCTTGAGTTAGCTATCCAACTCAGTTTACATTCAAACAGTAACCTTGGTCAACTTACTGAGGGAGGCTGCATATCAGAAAATGAAAATGATGTGATAGAGATAGAGGACTCTCAAGAAATTTTTGTGGATCATTCAAAGGGGACACAGAAGGAAAAAGACTTCAAAGAAAATGACTACCGGTATATTGTATTGGATGACTCTCAAGAAGAACCAGCAGAGAATATGGATTTTAACACAGTCACATGTATGACAAATGATTTTATAAAATCAAATAATCTAGAAACAGACTCTAATCAGATGATTGCTGAGAAAGAAGTTGAAAAAAATGGAGGATGTTTAGCACCAGACACTCAGATTGAGAAAGAACAAATGGATGAGGAAGATCCTCTTGTTGTACCAGAGACTGTGATCAAGGCTGAAACGACTTCTGTCTCTCTACATTCTAATGGATCAACACTGGAGCCAGAGCCTTTCCAACTAAATGTGGTACAGAACAGTCAAAACAAAATGGTTGATAGCAATACCTATACAGTGGATGCAAAAACATCAAAGGGAGATGTAATGAGCAACAATGAAAATTCTGTGATATTAAATAAAACACCTATCACAGAATCTGAAGAGGCTGAAAATGATGACTTGGACGTCATCCCACCCTCTCCAACAAGCAGTCAAAAATCTAGTTTATCCATCAAAGTATCTAAAACTATCCCAGAAGAATCAACTTCTGAAGGAGAAAATGTGAAAATTAGAGACAAGACACAAAAAGATGAGGTTAATGAAAAACATGATCAGAACAGTGATGGAGACTCTCAAGATTTTTACTGTACAGCTTTGGTGCTTCCACCTTTGTCTCCATACAATGACAACAATGAATCTCCTTGTAATTTATTACAGGGAAAGAGGCATCATACTTCAGGATCTGATGAGAATTATTTGCCACATTCAGTGAAAGTGAAGCAAGAAAAGGTGGACTTGATAGAGAGTACCATAAAAAATGAAGAAATTGTGATGGACAGTCAGACTCTAGAGGACAGTCAGGAAGAATTACCTAAATATGACTGGATAAAAGAATCTCCTGTTAAAATGGATCAAATTACTGTTCAGGTTGTCTCACCTTTGAAAAAGGGAAGTAACTCCACCTCAGATACTGTCAAAAGAATTAATTTGAGTCAAGGATCAACATCTAACATCAATATAAATATTCACATTGGACACATTGAAAAAACTAGTCAGTTAAGTTTAAAAGATAGTGTTATTTGTGATGATGAAGAATATGCAAAACGTTTACAAAGGGATCTGGATGAAGAATATGAACTGTCAAAACAGAGAAACGAACATGTACCTGTGAAGATGGAGACAAGATCTATCAAAAAGGAAGTTAAAAGCCCCCAAAAGTTTGTGAATGATGCATGCAGTGGGAGACTTGTAGATGATTTTCATGATGTTGATGCTGCAATTGCTCAAAGTTTGCATGAAGAGTTAAACAGTCCTGCACCAAAGAGGGATAAGGAATTACTACTACAAGATGAGAAAATTGCAAAACAACTTAATGAAGAATGGAATAAACTAAGCAGTGTTGGTAGAAAAGATGGAGCCCACGATCCTAGAGTGGTGGAAGATGAGGAGTTAGTAAGAAGCTTACAGAGCATTGAGAAGGAGAGTCAGGAGGACAGATACCAACAGATTCAGAGAGATGAGGACCTGGCACGTCAGCTTTTGGAGTCAGGTGATAACTACAGATCAACAGGTAAAATTGTGATTTTAATATATACATGTATTTATACATACTTTTATCCACCAGTCCCCTGAATTTTAAAGTAAACTTTCCAAACAATTGTTAGGGGTAAATGACCAGCACATGACAAAAGTTAAAGCATGTACAGTAATTGCTTTTTTATTTCTTTTGTAAAGGAATGAAAATTTCATCTGCAAAGAAAAGGAAAGGTCTTCTAATAAATGACAGCCCTCCTAAAGAGAAAATTTCTAGAAATGAATCGTGGAGAAAGAACCTGTTTAATGAAAATCTGAAGTCAAAGGGAGACAGTTTGAAACAAGTATTAATTAAGATCATTTTGAGCCCATGAGAGTCAAAGGCTTATGTAAGCTGTTCTGATCAAAGATTGTCCTGTGTTTGTCAGTCATGTTGTCTAAACTTTCAGAATTTTAATGTTTCTCTAGAACAATTCAACCAAAATTGTTTCAAAACATCCTTGGATGAAGTGCTCCACTCAAAGGGGAGATAATTAGGAAATTATGAAAATTGGGTGAGATCATTTGAAAACTTAGTACCGGGGTATATGAAAGATTCTTGATGAAATGCAGTTTTACATTTGTTTAAACTATGACCCCATGAATTTATTTAGGAAAATATATGCAAGTCTTCTCTTGTTGAATAGTAGAGACTTAATAATTTAGTGTTAATTAATAGTCAAGTATACTTACAAGATATTTGTTCTAAACATGACACATGAGTTAGAAGGGGCCAGAATACAGGGTCAGTAATTTACATTGAATGTACATCTTACGGAAGAGCAGGACCACGTATAGTCATTTTAAAGTGCAAGCATGCTCATGTAGTGTTGATTCAATTCTGTTTTAATCTTAGTCCCCAGGAAAAAGTTGGGGCCTTAATGGGGGTCAGTGTACATTTGAAAATGCTTTTAAAAAAAAGATTAATATTGAATATAAATATTCCCATGTAGTGTATATAAAAGTTGTTCAAATCATGGCCCCAAGAGGAAGAAGAGTAACTTATCAGCCACAATATTGACCAAAGTTCTTCATAAAGATACATTGAAAAGATTCTTTGAAATCTTTTTCAAAAAAAGACTGATTGATTGATAATAACATCTTTGTGCAATGTTGGTACGGATTTGTGCTTGACAAGCCCCCAGAAGTTAGGTACAGATTTTTACAGAGAATACTACTGACTTCTTAAGAACAAGGCTACAGTTATTAAATTGATACAGTATCAAGTCTCAGTACACTGTAAATTAAAACTGTTAAATCATGAAGAGAGGGAGGTTTACAGCCACAACAGAAAGGTCTTGTATATCTATACATTGATAAATAGATAAAATTCTAGCTATATGAGATTTAATAAGAAAATGTTACTTTGGAAAGCATTATGACCCATGTGACTTTTGTAAATTCTAAGTGTTTTTGATCTGAATATACATAATTTACTTCCTCAGTTACATCATGTATCTATTCTGAAATATTCTTGTTATATCATCACCTAAAGATGATGAAAAAGAGATTGAACAGTAATGAAGAGTTACAGTAGAAGTTTCACTTTCAAAAACAGAATCATTATTGTATCAATTGTAGCTTCAAGAGATAAGACGAGAACAGAGTGAGAGATTCTTAAAGGAAAAATCAGGATTTACTGGCATTAGCTCACTGAGCAGATCACCATGGAGTCCTGGTAAAAACAAAAACATATTGTTTATACTCTATATACTCATATACATTGAACAGATATCAAAATTGTACATATAACTTATTCATTTTTTTGTTCTGCTCATTATTTTGAGATATGCAGATGTACTGATACATTGCCATGTGAATGACTTCATTGGAAATCTAGCCTTTGATTGCACCAGTGTTATAAAGTTTAAAATTTATTTCAAATTTATTATTTATTACTTTTAGTGGAAACCAAACATGTTAAAACACCTCTCTGTCACAGTTCTTCAATGGTTCAAGATTCTATAGACCCTGGGGCAAGGAATTGGACTTCATCCACCTTCCTAAGCAGAAAATCCAGTGAAATCCACTCCTCTAGTAGTGGAGATCAAGGGGAGGATGAAAAGCCTTTAATGGGAACTCAATCAGAAGCCCTGTCAAAGTCTAAGTGTGGGAACTGTGGAGAGATAGGGCACACCAGAAAGTGGGTCAACTGTCCACGATATTACTCACACGAAGAAAGTCTTAGGAGACAGGTGTGTCGATTTGTGAGGGTTGAGCAAATGAATGCTGCTTTGCAGAACTAACTTAGAAATAGATAAAAAGAAATTTTTATTAAACCATTGCAGGAAGTAAAATTTGTATTAAATAAAAAAAAATCAAACTAATGAATATGTGTGGTAAACTTTAATAGTAATTATAATGAAAGTTTTAAAGAATTAGATGTACATGTAGTTGATTCATGTACCTGTATATACATGTACATGTTTATTCTTCAGGAACAACAGGCTAAGGCTAGGGAAAGGATTGAAGCCAGAGAAAGGGAGGAAACTCAAGCCAAGCAGGACTTGGTATGCAATGTTTTTTGAAAGTTTACAATTATTATCAATGTACAGATATGTGTAGCACAAGAGAAAACTTTATCTGTTCAGACATAGTGATAATACCTTAAAATTGTTCATTGTTGTTAATGATTGTAAGTACATATTGAAGGATGTGTATTGCACTGCTACTATTTTGACATGTTGGAGACAAAATTTCAAGGGTCTAAATTCAAATGGATTACTGTGGAATCATTAAAATTCATGGGGGCCAATTTTTGTGGATTGCTTTAATTTTACAGAATTGTGGGGACATGATTTCGTGTATTCTCTTATACCTACAGAAGGAAATATGACTTTAAACCATAGTTTATTAATGCGTTGAGGATATTAATTGGAGAATGAGAGGTTCCGACGAATTCCACAAAAATTTAGCTACCAAGAAATCTAATGATTCCACAGTAGTCCAGTGTTAGCTTAGAATATCTTTTTTTCAGGAACATCATCAAAGAGCATTAAAAGATATTGCAATTCAGATACAGGAGGAACAAAAAGGATTGGAAAAGACAATCAAAAGATTAGATAAGAAGAAAAAGCAAAGAGAAAATAGGCACCATTGAACCATGGAATTTGATGTTGATATGGCAGATTTTTATTCTTCAAAATATTTGTACTTTGTCAAGTTAATCCGATAGAAAAGTGTTTGTTCATGCATGGGAAAGATGAACAGATATGTGTAAATTTTATAGGTCATCCTAGTCTATGCATTAAAAAGATGAGGCAATAAAATTCATTGAAAGGTTGATTGATATAATTTTGTTAAAGGCCAATGTTTCAAGCATTGCTTTGTGATTATTTTGTTTTATACAAAAGAAAATATCAGATTTTTTTCAGTATTGTTAATTTTTTTATTGTTAATAGATTTTAGTGCTCCTTTTATTTTGTATTAGTTAATTGCATACAGTCAGTATTAAAATTTCGTATTGTTAAAAGTTTGAATTTTTTTTATAAACAAGGGCTCAAAATAAATAATTAATGGCCTATTGGTCTGGTGGCAGTAAAATTTGGATTTGGACTAGTGCTTTGTAGAGAGCATGTGCCCTTGGGACCAGTGATTATTTTATGCATTTCAAAATTCATTCAAGATTGAGTTAACTTAGACAGATTTGTAGTCCAAGCTTCAATTCCTTGTTTTGTTAGGTTGAACTGTTAAGAAATAATGAAATGTAAATTCAATATCGAAGATATTTGTAAGAACAAGTTCTCTTGATCAGAATACTCTTATTCTTAATGTGTCGCCGTGGTGAAAAAAGTATGAAAAGTAGAAGTATTATAAAATGAGAAATATGTGCAGTAAAGATTAAGGATCACAATCTGAAAATGGCACATTTGTGACCTTTTGACCTTGGAGTTTGACCTACTTTGAGAAACTTTAACCTTGGCCATAACTTTGGAATGGTTGGTGTTAGGTCTTTCTTACTTGACGTTTATTTCTTGTACCAAGACCTTTTTAGGTACCAATATTTTTTACCTCTTCGATCTTAGAGTTTGACTTGCATTTGAGAACAGCAAACCCATTATTAGTCATATTAATTCAAAAGCATCCTTAGGTGGTATAGATTCAAGTTTGTTCAAATCGCCCCCCGCCCCCCCCCCCCCCCCCAATCACTTCAATATTTTTATATTTAAACTTTTCAGTACTGAACTGATTTCTGCTTTTCCTAGCCAAAGTGCTCAGGTGAGCAATGTGGCCCATAGGCCTCTTGTCACACAAATTTTGTCTTTTTTAACCCCCTGTTCTAAGTTAATCTTTGACCCTGCAATTCAGATGTGTTCAGGTGTGTTAATTCTCTTGCTCACTTGCCACTTCTGTAGCAAGTAAGAAACTGAAAATTCTATGTAATACTTTAAAATCTTAAAGAGTCTAACATTTCTAATGTTTTCTGCTGCCAGCCCCCCCCCCCCCCCCCCACCACCACCAAAAAAGGATTTTAGATTGCTGTGATATTTAATGTTTGTCTCTCTTAATTTGCATCGGTTTGTCCGCCGCCTAGGCGGGATCACTCTCGACACAAGTCAACCTGCTACATGTATATCTAAGAAAAAAAGTGTAACTTTGAGGGCGAGACAGCTCTTTGACAATGGATGGATACAGGGATATCTCGGTCATGAGGGCGAGAGACAGGTTGTCTCACCTGCTCCAACACGCCTGTATCAGGTCTGGTATAAGATATATATATATATACTAGACTTTGACCCGTGCGTGCACGGGTTGACATTGTTATGAATGCATCCATGTGCATATCGGACATTTACAAAATAGATACATCGACACATTCATATATTGTAAGGTACTTTTGAAATAAACAATGAATGTGAATATAATTCTGCTTTTTTTTTTTTCTTTTTTTCTTTGGCAAAATTGTTGCGTAACAGTGTAGCGCAGAATGGGTTTGACCCCCAGTTAGCTATAAATCAAGTCTTGAGTTCGAATCACGCCGGAGCTTACATAAATTTCACCTTTCCAAACTTTAATAAAAGAAATTATGGATATTTATTGAAAATATGACAACAACAAAGAGTTGAGCACTGCTGATACATATCAAGCAAAGTAATGAAAATGAAGAAATGTGTTTAGCTGGTATTTTTACACGATTAGTTATTAAACTAAAGGTGTAAAAAATTTTTGTAACAATTTTAACACTGCAGGTCTCAACTTGTTCAAAATATGACCTCAACAATAAAAGAGTTATTAAGCACTGCTAATACATATAGTTTATATATACACAGGTAATAGACATGTATATAATCTGTAAAAGCAGAAATGAAAATGGACAAATGTGCTATACTGGTATTTCTACACAATTTAGCAGATGTGAAGCAGAACAGATTATTTGCTAATACCCCCCCCCCCCCCCCGAAAAAAAAACATACTGGTTGTTCAAGAGATCATAATAAGAATTAAGAATATCAAATGTACTTTACATATGATATAAGAAAATGCTCTCATGACTGTCTGTTTTGATAAAAATTAATGTAATATCCTTGAATTAGTAATATTTTGAATCGATTCGATTAAAACAAAAACCTCGGTTTTACCAAGGGGAGGTAATTAAGAAATATTGAAATTTTTTGGTAATTCTTTAAAAATATTACTCTCAAGAACCATTTGACCAGGGAAGTTGAAACTTATGTGGAAGCATCCTCAGGTAGTGTAGATTCTATATTGTTAAAATCATGACCCCCAGGGATAGGGTGGGGCCTCAATGGGAGTTGAAATTTTACATAGTAATATATTGGGAAAATCTTTAAAAATCTTTTTCTCAAGAACCTTTTGGCCAGGAATGTTGAAACTTATGTGGAAGCATTCTCAATTTCCTTTAAATCTTATTATGACCTTTCATGACCCCTGGGGGTACGGTGGGGGCCACAATGGGGGAGGGGTATCCATGGGAGTATTTATAGGAAATTTTTTTTATGAATTTTCTTTTCCAAAACTACTTGACCAGAGAGGTTTTCTGAAATGTAAATTCATATAAATGTACATTCAAATTTGATGATGACGATCACAGGGGGTCATGATAGGGTACAACCACAATGGGAGAGGGGGGAACAGAATATTTACTGTATATTTTACATATGAAAATCTTTGGATAAAAATCTCAAACTTAGAATATGTATCAAAACCTTAATATAAAAAACTAAATTTGTACAGATTTTTCTGATTTGTTAAAGCTGTTTGGGTTGGAGTAATTGACCATAGTTGCTCAGGTGAGCGGTGTGGCCCATTGGCCTCTTGTTTATACTAAGTATAAAATATATGGGAAACATGAATTATCATTATCTTAGATAAGCCAAGCAAGGGTATCCTAAGTAGGAAAGTAGGAATTTGAAGGTACTTCTTGCTGCAATAATGATGCCTTTTCCTGGGGGTGGGGTACAACTCTTTTTGGATCATACAATATCATTTTCATTTTTTAATTGAAATCATACAATGTTATCAGGAACATTTTAAAATAAATGTTTCTAATGTTATTATTCAGAGCATAAATTTTTCCAAAATATTTAGTAAAGTCTGAGTTTACCACAAACTTTAAAGTTTACTGACCTTTACCGATTTTATTTTGGGACAGCCAATGAGAATTTGGGAGCGGATCTTGAAGTGAATAATGGTATTTTTCTTACTTCATACGTAAATAATGCAGCAAAAATAAAATAAATATATACCTCATAAACATTTATATATCTGTTTAGTGATAACAATGAAAAAATTAATCTACTGCAGTATTAAACGTTTTCAATCAAAAGTCATCACATCACATGAGAACTGTCATGGCTGCTGAAGAAGACAACTTGTTTTCACGCTGGTGTATTTTTTCTTGTGGCGATTTAATAAAACATAAGTTTGTTTGCTACGATTAAATATATACGAAAGCCTATTAGGATCAAACTACGGTAAAAAAAAATTTAAAAGGCGTTATAACGCCTTTTCAAAAGGCGTTATAACGCCTTTTCAAAAGGCGTAATAACGCGGAAAAAGGCGTAATAACGCAAATAAAGGCGTAATTACGCCTTTCCAAAAGGCGTTATAACGCGAAAAAAGGCGTTATTACGCCTTTCCAAAAGGCGTTATTACGCCTTTTCAAAAGGCGTTATTACGCCTTTCTAAAAGGCGTTATTACGCCTTTTCAAAAGGCGTTATTACGCCTTTTCAAAAGGCGTTATTACGCCTCTTTTTTTTCAATACATGACTTACTTAGCCCACCCTGGGGGCTGATTATAATTAGATTTCTAGGAAAAAGATTTTTAAATGTGTATAAAATATTTTCAGTGTTAAACCAACTTAGTCCTTCTCTGATGCCAGACGCTTCTACCAAGGTGTATGGATTTCAGAAATTTTGTTGAAGGCTAATTGCTCATTATACCTATGCAAATACTTTGCATGTTTTTTACCAAGAGGAGAGAAAAATATTTCAAATTTGACATGAATTTTTAATACGTGGCTAGCAAAGCCCAAAGCTGGTTCTGCCTGTATCCTGGATTTTCAAAAGTAGAGTGTTGACTTCTCTTAATATGCATGCAAAATGCAAACAACTGTCTGCGAGATGTGCAGGAATATAGAAAATACTATAATTTATAATATAATTTATAATATTATAACTATAATCTAAATATTGCATAAATAAAGATGGCTTTGGTTCAATCTTTCATATATTTACTATCTTAAAATAACGCCTTTCCATTTTTGGATACAACTCCTTTTCAAACAGGCCGGTAGTACGAATGTGAGTGGGGGGGGGGGTGGTCCCCACCCCACTTTTTGGGAGAATAGTCTTGCTTTAGTTTAAATATAAAAAATCATTGATTGATTGCTTGGTCCCTTAACATTTTGTTGCAGTATGGTTAAACTCTGGCAAGTCATTGCATTTAAAAAAGTTTTACCGAAAAATTAGAAAAAGTTTCCCCTCAAGTTTAGGCAGTTTATTTTTTTTCGGGGGGGGGGGGTTCTTGTTTTTTTGTTTGCTTGTCAATTTTATGGGAACCCCCCCCCCCCCACTTTAAAAGCACGGGCCTGTCAAAGACATAATAATGGCCCTTCAAAAGGCATAATAACGCCTTTTTGAAAGGCGTATTAATGCCTTTTAAAAAGGCGTAATAACGCCTTTTGGAAAGGCGTAAAAACGCCTTTTGGAAAGGCGTAAAAACGCCTTTTGGAAAGGCGTAATAACGCCTTTTAGAAAGGCGTAATAACGCCTTTTGGAAAGGCGTTATAACGCCTTTTGGAAAGGCGTAATAACGCCTTTTGGAAAGGCGAAATAACGCCTTTTAGAAAGGCGTAATAACGCCTTTTTTCGCGTTTTAACGCCTTTTGGAAAGGCGTAATTACGCCTTTATTTGCGTTATTACGCCTTTTTCCGCGTTATAACGCCTTTTGAAAAGACGTTATTACGCCTT